GTTAAATCCTGGACAGATTTGTTTATTTATTTTGAGTTATTTAAATTTAGCTAATCAATTAGTAAACTTCATAACTAATTAATTTAATAACTAATATTATTTAATGAAACTACTGAAAAATTAAAAAAAAAAACTTTAGAAATTTTTTTTTCTGCAGTTGAAAAAATTAAGAAAAAAATGGAGCAGAAATTACTATTATGAAAAAAAATGGACTTAACTGGAAATGGTCATTACAAACAGAGCAACTTTTTCCCCAGTCTGAAATAGTCGATTTTATTGAGGAACCAAAGAAAATTTCGAAAAGAGGAATTTATTCAGTTTCAGAACTTTTTCACTAAATTTTTTAAAACATTTTTGTAATTTTTGTTTACTTTATACCTAAACTGTTTTGTTTACTTTGTACCTATACTTTTTTAGTTTGTACCTATATTTTATTTACTGTATACAAAAACTTTGTTACTAAATCTTTTTTTGTCACTTTATTTTTGTAAATTTATTTTCTTTGCTTAAATATTGTTGTTTTTATTGTTGTTTTGCTTCCTTTAATTCCTTTTTACAGGGTTGGGCCAAAGTCACCCTAACACATAGAGCGACTTTGGCCCACCATTTAAACCACCCAAAAGATACTTCAGACAAATAATTTTCAAATGGGAGATAGATAGTTTTAACTGTGCTTTCTATGCGCTTCTAAAAGTACTTAGTATTTAAGGAAATAACTTTTGTGGCTTTCATGCAATAGACATTAAGATGCAAAATGGGCCAAAGCCACCCAATCTTACGGTATGTTTTTTGTTAAAAGTAAAAAATAATAACATAAGAAAAAAAGAAATTTTCATTATAAAAATTCACAAGAAGAAATTATGCTCTCTCACAAAATTTACTAATCTTCCCTCTTAACACTAACACTTTGTTCATAATATGTCATCATACACTTTACAACAGGATGAACTAGATTTATTAAACAACGGTCCTAATTTTGCTTTACTGCCTGTGTTTATTAAAAAGACGGACGTTTTCGCCAGTTTGATAGCATTGCACAATTTCTCAATACTCAACTTAGAAGCAGTGATTCGAAGCTTAACTTAAAAGCAAACTTTCTCATTTAGCAAACAATTATGTATATAAATAATTATACCATTCCCTTTGTCTGGTTTTGTAGAATAATTATTTTTAATAAGAGTGACTATATTACATCTATTTTAACTAATATTTTAAGTGAAAAATAAGGAGTTACAAGAAGATCCAACAATTAAAAGAGAACTATCTTTACAAGGGTATCTTTGGAAACTTAAAAAACATAATTGTTTTAAAAAAGTCGTTTACAATAAAAATTATCCTGTTGGTTCACAAACAGCAAGAATTTGTGTTTTACACTTAGGTAAAGCATAAATTCTTGCTGTTTGTTAAAAGCACATACTCAGTAAAGATTCTATAGACCATTTATTTCAACAATCAAGACATATAACTATAAGCTTGCCAAACATCTATCTGATTTGCTGTCTCCTTATATACTGAATCTTATTCCACCTGTGACTCTGTTTCTTCTGTAAAGGAATTAAAACAAATTGTTTTAACTAAGAAATAAATAGTTTCCTATAATTTTGAAAGCTTATTTACTAATATTCTACATAAAGCAACAATAAATATAGCTACTGATTTATACTTTAAAAACTAATTGTGTTCAAAATATTTTTCTAAAGCTCAATTCAAAAAAGTACTTCAAACCTCAATATCCGGTTCTCAGTTCTTATTTAACGGGAAATATTATGATCAATGGGATGGCGTTACAATGGGTTTTTCTTTAGCACCAATTGGGTTTAACGAACAAAAATTAGTAATTGCTCTTCCTCCATACCGAATTTCAATAAACAGTGGATATTATCTCTATTTTTAATTCAGAGTTTAAAACTCAAGAATTTTTTAAACATCTTAATAAACAACGTGAAAACTTAATATTTGCTATGAAAAAAGTCAAGAATTTTTTAAACATCTTAATAAACAACGTGAAAACTTAATATTTGTTATGAAAAAACTCGAGAATTTTTTAAACATCTTAATAAACAATGTGAAAACCTAATATTTGCTATGAAGAACTAGAACTTATTGATCAAATTGCATTTTTAGATGTTCTTATCAATAAGTTTGTGCTCGTGTGTTAGCAGTCTTATCAATAAGTCTGTTTTGCTTTCCACATCAGTTTATCACAAAAAAACATATACGGGTCTTTTACAAATATTTTCCAGCTTTGTTCCCTATTGTTATAAAATTTGTCTGACGTTGTTTGATTGATAAAACATACAAAATCACAAAAACACATGGCTTGGCTTTGTTATCACATAACAAATCTATTGTTTTAAAAAAACAAACAAAATCCACCAAAAATAATTTACACTGAAATTAAATCATTTGTTGATAAGTAGTTAAATCCATTTGTTATAAATAGTCTTACTAATTCTAGTATAAGATATTATCAACTTCCATTGATAATTGATAACTTCCATTGATAGGGTTTTACTCAAATTTTACCAAATCTCAAATTAATAAAATCATTAAAAAAAATTGTAAAGATGTCACAATTCAATCAATTTTCACTACTAACAAATTACAAAATAGTTTATGTTCAAATCACGGCGATCTATAGATGTATAGTATAGATCTCCGTGGATCCAATGTTGTTCACAAATTTTCTTGTGCTAGATGTAATGCCAGTTATATTAGAGAGACTTCCAGATACTTAGCAACAAGGATTCATTAGCACCTTACAAGTGACAATCTAATGTTTACAAGCATTTAAATTCATCCGTTAATTGTAAAAATCCAAGTAACTATAATTTTGGATACTGCTTTTAACAAAAACAAACTGAAAATTAAAGAAGCATTCTAAATTAAATGGGAAAACCATCTTTAAACAAACAAACTGTTCATTAAAATATAAATTTGGCAACTTTGTTTTATTTACTACGTACTAAAAAATATTGAAGTAAAGAAAATGTATAAAAATGGTCAGTGTGATAAAAATTTATTGTCTTTAAGATCCATTTTTACGGGTGTTTTACAGGCATATATATATATATATATATATATATATATATATATATATATATATATATATATATATATATATATATATATATATATACACACATGATGCAGGTGCTTTTAAAATTTAAAAGATAATAAAGTTGTAAACAATACAAAAATATGGAAAAAGACACAAATTGCAATAACTTCCGTGCCATGCAAACCCCTACAATTCTACAATGATGAAATAGTTAACTTTTATTTTTATGAAGTTATTAAGGTTCTCTTAGAAGTCCTTACTGTTTTATCAAAAAGCATCACGGAAGAACATTACACTAACCCTGACGTTCACGCCTCTTTTTTTGCCATTGTCGCTATTGGCGTCGATCCTTGGACTCTCTTATTTTGAGCCACAATTCTTACTACTGCATCACTGCTGCTCTCATCTAGAAAGGTTTTTATAAAGGTTCCATGTGATTTCTGGCACATCCTGATAGAAGGTTCTAAAGATAACCTCAATTCGTCAATTCATCCTTTCTACTAACTAGCCCCCGATCTACTGCCAACTAACCCCTTCTTATAAAAACTTAAACTAAAATTAAAACTCAAGATTTATTTTTAATTTTAATATTTAAAATACTATCTAACTACTATCTACTAAAATCAATAAAGTCTAAAATTCTTAAGTAAAATCAATAAAGTCTAAAATTCTTAAGTAAAATCAATAAAGTCTAAAATTCTATCTAACTACTATCTAGTAAAATCAATAAAGTCTAAAATTCTTAAGTAAAATCAATAAAGTCTAAAATTCTTAAGTAAAATCAATAAAGTCTAAAATTCTTAAGTAAAATCAATAAAGTCTAAAATTCTTAAGTAAAATCAATAAAGTCTAAAATTCTTAAGTAAAATCAATAAAGTCTAAAATTTAAGGGCATATTAGGACAAAATACTATTAAATTTCAATTTGTGAGTTAAACAAATAGATTATGAAAAAAGTAGGTGTCTAGTATCTTAAATGTAATCCTCATCTTAAATCCTGCATTGGTGAGAGTAATAATATATGTAAAAGTAAAAAATGTTTTTAAAAGATGAACTGTTTGTATATCTCTAAATCTTACACTTTTTAAAAAGAAATCTAAATTTTGCTGAGACTCTAAGACTATTGTAATAAAGAAAACACTCCGAAAAACATTGTAAACCCGCTTAATATAATACAATCAAAACAAAACTCATAGTAAATATGTAATTAAAATAATAGAACTCTCAAACTAATAGTTTTAGCTTCCTTTTAACGCTTTTCATCGTTTTCAAAACAAAACTTCACCAAAAAAGCTGAATACACAAATGCAAGTTTACTAAATGCTTTTCATTCAGCAAATTTTTTTTTCATTTACGAAAATTGCTTTCATAGAGTTCATTAATCAAATGCAGTTTTAATCACTGAAGCTTCTAAAAAAAAATTTACTCATTTTAAAACATAACTAAAAAACTTACCAACCAAGTATTGTAATTAAAATACGATTAAAAAATCGAAAAAAAATTATGAGCCAATCCCAGTGAAACTTAAAATATTATTTCATTCTAGATTATAATTTATTATTTTGTTAAAAAATAATAAAGTATAATCTTAAAAATAATTAAAAAATTCTAAGATCACTAAAAAATGACTGTCTAGATTAAAGATGACGTCTTTATGAGATTTTAAGATTGGTTGTGCGCACACCCAAAAATAATAACAGACAGCAAACATTATTTTTTATTTAAAACCTGATTTATTTATGTAACACTGTAAAAAAACATCGTTATCTTAATATCTTTTGATCCTTTAACTTCTTCAGGGTTATTTTGATATTTCTTGCAATTTATACTTGTATGACTAAATTTTAATGATTTTAATTTTTTTTGGTTAACTCTAGTTTAATCTCTACATCAATTTATCACAAAAAATATTCACGAAAAAATATTCACGAGAATTTTACAAATTTTTTATTCAGTTACGTTCCCAATTATTAAAAAAAATTGATCGTACCTACAAAACTACATGGCCTCGTACAAACAAAATACATTCACAAAAATTATTAGTTTCAGAGGTCAAAATTCGCAGCTTTATTTGAGGATGAGATTCAGTTGCAATGCATAAATCCTGGATGAACTGTAGTATATAAGCAAATACGGGAAACGCCGATCTATGTTTGAAATCAATTCCTCAATTAAATATTCGTTGTGGATGACTTTTAGAATAAGCATTAGGAGTTTCTTTCAAACTTGCTGAATCAGTTCAGGAGTTCATCATGCCATCAGTAATAGGTTTCATAAGTTGTTTCGTCTAATACATTATAACCCACTGGTTTAAAATGACGGAATTTCAGTTCATCCATGATTTGGGGAACCTTTCCTTCTACTCCTAATACCAAAAGTCGACATATGGCATTATATGTAGAATCCACTGAATCTCCCTTGGTATCTTCAATGAAACTTTAGTATTATCACAGCATCGGATGCTTGCGTGTTTCGGCTGACAAGTGACCACAATTTTGATTAATTGGTTTTTGCACCCCTGTATTGTCGTTTGCGCATACTCACGTCATTTTTAATTAATAGTGAAATATCACTTGTGGCAATAAGGAGTAAAGTGAGGCTGACAAATCTGATAAGTTCTGATAAACATTTGTCATTACATTTTCCTTGTTTATTTGTCAAAATAGTTTCAACATTAATTGTCTTCATATGTATCTTCGTCTTCATCCGATGAATTTTTTCTGCTGATTCTACTGTTACAACATTTTCATTATCATCACAATTCACCACAGCGCAATTGACATTTGACATTGAGATCTTCACCACATCTTCAAACAGCTCCAACTGTTGTCGTACATATGGAAGTCGACCATCGACATCTCTATGTGATCTTCAATTGTACTAAGAACATTTTTCAAGTTTGCAACCAACCTTGTTTCTTAAAATTGCACAAGACATATAAAGAAAATGCAGGTAACTTAAATTTCAAACTATTGCTTTTCAACTGTTATCATCGATCGAAACTCATAAAATAGTTAATAATTAAACGGTTTTAATTTGCTTGTAAAATAAGAACAAAAGACCTTACATTTAATTGTTGTTTTCTAGTAGTTGAAATCGCAGTTAGTTGATCACCAATTCTACGACAAAACAGTTTTGCAAGGATACCTATCCTGTAAAGACCAGCATTATTCAAATCGCTTTTCTATCAATACTATGAATTTTTGTGTGCATTATAAATGCTAACTGACTTTGGATGAACTGCCTGAAAAAAAGACAAGACTACTTTATACACGGCCGATTCGTTTTATATATCTTGCATAAATAGGCCGAAAATTAGAAGGCCAGTTTTTAGCATTTCGGTTATTTTTCATACTGCCAGTTAATATTGTTTAAATTTTATTTTGAGAGATATTGATTAAGTTGGAAATTTAGTTTTGGATATAATGGTGAACAAATGTGCTGATTTTAATTGTCGAACTGGCTATAAATCTAAAAAAAATGAATCTAGTTCTCTTAGTGCAAGTAAAGCTGTTCTTAGTTTCCCTAAAGATAATATTTTAGAAGAAAAATGGATGAAATTTGTTAACAGAAAAGGTCGTCCTCCATATTCTTCACAAGTATTACGTTTTGCACTTATACAAAGATATTCATCATTTCAGGCTTATTCCCTTCTTTTGAAACAACTCCCATTGCCATCAATGTCACTACTAAAGAAGTTAGTTTCTGGTGGAATCGATTCGATAAAATCATTAAAACTGTTATTAAATGAAGTTAATGAATTAAATAAGCAATGATTGTGTTCTCCTTTTTGATGAAATGTATTTACAGCAATCTTATGAATACCACAGAGGTAGATTAATTGGTCAAGATACTGAGTGTAATCTTTACAAAGGAATAATTGTGTTCATGATTGTTGGTCTTAAATAATCAATACCATGTTATTAAAGCTATCTCAGAAATTAGTTTTACTGGAGATTTTATTAAAGATAAAATAGAAGAAAGTTTAAATACACTATCTGATCTGCTGGTTTTAACATTCGTGCATTGATTGCTGATAACCATCCAACTAATGTGTAAGCTTATTCAAAATTACTCAGTGTTTATGGTTCAGAGAAGCCAGAAGAAAATTTTTTTATCACTTTTAATGGTCATATAACTTATTTGATGTATGATAGTGTACATTTGCTCAAAAACTTAAGAAATAATTTGATTAGTACCAAAAAGTTTATTTTCCCATCATTTCAGTTCACTGATTACATTTTTAATATAAAAGTCTCTGCAGGTGATATATCTTGAGGATTGCTTCATAGAGTGCATGAAAAAGATGAAACTCTATCAGCAAACTTAAGAAAGGCATCAAAACTAGGAGAAAAGACATTATATCCATGTAACAATAAACAAGACGTCAACCTAACATTAAATATATTCCATGAAACAACATCTGCAGCAATTCAAAGTTATTTTCCTGATGAATTTTTAGCATCAGAATTTTTAAAACTTGGTAATTTATGGTGGGTAATATCTAATTCTAAAATGAAATACTCTAAACATAAGTTTGGAAATGCATCTGTTATGGGGGACGGTAAGCCACAATTTTTACGTGCATTTGCTCACTGGATTGATCAGTGGCAAAATTCGCAATACAGTTCCACCGAAAGATATTCTCTTACAGCTCAGACTTCTAAAGCCCTTATTATAACACTGCAAAGTACTTCTAGTTTAATTAATGATCTTCTATTTGAAGGATATAATTATGTTCTAGCCTCTTGTTTCTAAGGTGATCCATTGGAGCGACATTTTTCAAAGTATCATCAAATGAGTAGTGGCAGATTTCTTGTTGGATTACGTGAAGTAATAACTTCTGAAAAAATTTTGCAAATGAGATCATTATTAAAAGAAAACTTTGATTTTTTGGAAAATGGATTTAAAAACTTTCAAGTCAGTTGTAAATATAAATTCGATTTCTGAATTTTTTATTAATGATATTCAGGAATGTGATTTAGATGATAACAATAAAAAAGTTGCTATTTTTATTGCTGAATATATATGTAGATATATAAATAGATATATTTTGTATATGAAATCTTGATGAAACTTGCTATTAGTATTTTTTGATTTTTGTCTGAAATCTCTACGTAAAAAAATGTGTATAAAAATAGTCATATTCATAATTTTATATTTAAAATTTTAAGTTGTTCAAAAGAAAAAAATATTTGAAGTGAACTACGAAAATCAAATAAACAAATTTAAAAAAAAACTACTAGATGTTAATAATAAAATCAACTTGAACGTTTTTAAATAAGGAAAAACTAATACGAAAAGATATTTTACTATATAAATCTATTTAGTTTAAATAATTATAATATATTTATTAACTTAAATTAAAAATCCTAGCAATTTAATTACATTTAAACCTATTTAAACTTAAATCCCGAAAACTTGTAATATTGAAAAACTGGCCTTCTAATTTTCGGCCTATTTATGCAACATATCCGGCAGTGTTTAAATTAGGCCATGGATAAGAAATATTTAATTAACAAAAAAAAATTAAAGCTTTTTTAGAAGTTATTGCACTCACAGACATCAGTCAACAATTTTTTTTAATTTTTAAAACAATATTTAAAAAAAAAGAATAATGATTATTGCATATAAAAAAAAAAAGATTTTAAGTAAGGAAAAAATACTTTTTTTAACATTTAATGTTATGGACCCAAAAGCTTTTTCTGGATTAGAGTTTAATTTAATTGTAACAAATGACGTCAATTATTTCTGTTAGTTAAATAACATATTCTAATAAGCTTTTTTTAAAAATTGTTTGATAAAAATACTAAAACAATTCAATAGTAACACTAAAACAATTCGATAGTCACACTAAAATAATTCGATAGTAACACTAAAATAATTATGTACAGTAAGACTATAATGTTGATATAAATATTTTAACAATCCAAAATAACAATAACAACAACAATAAGAATAACATCACAAATAACAATAACAAAATTAACCACAACATTAACCACAACAACAACAAAAGTAATAATAATAGATACATATAAATTACCTTAAGATGCTTTTGAAGGTTCGAAATTAAGTTAACTTGCACAGAGAATAAATGTCAGAATAAATTCTGATAACTTTTACAACTGGTCAACACTTTTTAACGTCAAGAATTTTTGGTTATTTTGAAGTAACGTCCATCCAAGATTGAAAGAAGACCTGGAGTTTTGTTTAATGTTAAACTTGCGGTTCCTGAATCCCACAGTGTGCTATTTTTTATCTAATTGTCGCTAGATTAGGGTCCGTATCAATATTTTTGGACGCGATTGTCCTTTATATACGTTTTTTCTCTCGTAAGAAACAAAAAATTATAAGCCAAAATCAAATTATAATTTTCTTTATCATTAATAAATCATATCCTCTAAATTTATATTGAATAACAACCTTCATAAATTGACACCTGTCAAATGTAGTACGTCCAAGTTAAAAATTGGATTACTTTAAAAATTTTAAATGCATGATATTAAGGACTAACAAAAAGGCTGATCAAAGGAGAGAAAGAGCTGTTTGGTGTACATCCTATCGGATGGAAACGGAAAAAACCGGTCAACTTTAAATTGAGATTTCTCTAAAACCATAAATGCATAGCATTTCAATTATTTCATATTAAATATGTTTACATCAATCAGGGTCTCAACTTAATTTTAAGGAGCTTTATAGGTTGTTTGGCAAGAGATCGAATTTTACAGCGGGTTAATGCCAGCATTACGCAGATTTTTTCTTTTTTTACCTTATTAGTGGCATTACTCCAATTTTTTCTTTTTTGTTACTCAAACTGTCTTACAAAAAACTCCTTTAATTATTGTCTAAAAGTCTTCAATCTTGTGCTCTTCAGGACAATACGGAGGATACGCATCTTTAGGAACAATTTTCACATTATTATGTACTGTAGAACTTTTTTAGAATTGTGAGAAGCAGCAAGATCTGACCAAAAGAGACATCGGTATTTGTGTTTTTTAATAAATGGCAAATCTTTTTTAGAGTCATTCTTTTATGTAGAGATCAGCAGCCGAGGTCTTCTTAGTGAAAAAACAAGAGGACTGCTACAGCTACAATTTGCTTGCCACACAAGGAACTTGGATGCAAATTTTTTCTTGTCAAATATATTAAAATTGATCATCGACAGGTTTATCTTTATTCTTAAAGTAAATTTGTTGACCAAGAAATTGTGAAAAATCCGCTTTGCAAAATGTTTCGCTGTCTTCAATTATGCACATACTTTTATCTGCCATTACATTAACTAACTTCTTTGCACGTCTAATTCTTTCAATTTCACCATTTAAGCTTCTCTTGGGTGTCAGGGTTCGATATAAGAATGCGGAGTCTTAAATTTTCTCCCTAAATCTCGCTGTGACTGGTTCGCTATTAAACTGAGAATCGACCTTTTTGGATTTATAGAAAGTTTTCTTTCTTTCACGTCCAGGTTTTCTTTCGAAGTTTTTAATAGTTTTTAACTTAATTAATAATATCTATAACTGTAGATTTTGAGTCATTTGTACGTTTAGCAATCAAGCGATATTAAGTTTATTGATTTTTTCAAAAAAAAAATCCCAACTTTTTTAGGCACCTCAAGATGAATATAAAACATTTTGCAAATCATTGATTTGAAAATAAAAGTTTATCAACGCAATTAGGGATAAGAAAGTAATGATGACGATTTACACTGTTAGATGTCTAGATGTGGATAAAGTTACTACTTTATCCGCATCTAGACATCTAACAGGGATAGATGGTGGATTCATTAAAACTTTCGACGATCCTTCAAAATTATGAAGTATGAAAAGTATGAAAAGATATAATGACTATAAAAAGTCAAAGAATTGTGCTGTTTAGAAAGTTCTCATATTGACGTTTTAAAAAAAAATTACTAAAAACAATGCGAATCTTCAGATTCTTATTGAGAAAATAAAGCTCAACAATTTTAAGTTATATTTAGCAACTGATCTTATGCTGCTAAACATAATTGCAGGCAATTATGTTTACCAATTTAGCCAGGACATGAAGTAAAATACTCCAGTTTATATTGATACAATGAAAAGTCAAATCTGAGTGAAATAAGAACTTTCAATATGTTGAAGTTGCTATATTTTCTAAACTGTCTTTTCTAAAAATGGATCTAAACAATATTTTTTTCAAATAAACAAAAATGTTATACATCCATATCTATTTGATGCAACTGGAGATAAGAATGTACTCAATGTAATTCCTCCACCAGAACATTATCTGCTAATGAAGATTGTGACAGTGATTTTAGATGCTGTGTAAGGAATCTGATAATGGTGTCTGGCTAAGTAATTATAAGATAACTCAGCATGGATATAATAGCGGTGGGTTGGATGGTAGATATTCTTATAAAATTAGGAAATTTCTGCTTCCCTATTTAATATCATAACTTAATATAATAATAAATTATTACATAACTAGCTGTCATCAATCGTATAAAACAGGTCTATGGGAGTTTATTTCACACCTACCTCTACCTTTTTTATACTTATTTAGGTATTTATTTCTTTACTTTAATGTTTTTTGAATAAATGGTAGAAAATTAATTCATTTAAAAATTGCTATTAGTGCAAAAAAAATATGCCCACTTTATTAGCATGCTTAGAGTTTATTAGAACTCTTACCCTGTTTAGCTAGGTATGCCAACACCCCCCCCCCCCCTCAATACAAAACATTTTCAATTTTTTCAATATGGGTGTATATATTTAAAGCAAAAAAAATATATACCAAAAAAGACTAATCATAGTTAAAATAAAGTTTCAAAGTTTTTGCTAGCTACAGGTTAATTTTTTTTAACTCCACTGCTACAGGTTAATTTTTTTTAACTCCACTGCAGTACCTTTTGGAGTAGCAGGAAAGGTAATTAATTTTTTTCTTTATTAAGTTTCAAACCATAATTATTTTTTAAATTATCTACACACTTTATTAGGACTAATAAACTGAGCACATTAATAACATAACTATCTAGATAAATTTTTACAGGTGTTATGATGTTTTAAGCTTTTTCAAAAACTCTCTCCTTTCCCTTGATTGTTATAGTAAATAATATCTTTATATATGTTATGTATATAATACCTATAAAACTTCAAGTAACTTCCAACTATAATAGTGGTTGCTTGCAGCCTTGTTTAAGTGAAGATGTTAAAGAAAAAAATATCAAGACTGTGACACTTGCATAGCTTAGTGCTTAGGATGCTCTATCTATGAATTAGTCAAGTTCTCTTTAACTTAAGCTTAGGATGCTATCCTCTATCTATGATAGAGTCAAGTTCTCTTTAACCATGGCCTACTTAAATTACACGGCCTGATTTGTTGCATTTTCCATAAAAAATTAAGAGGCCAGTTTTTTTACAGCTCAAGTATAAAAAATTAATTTTCGTTATGGTTATGAGTCTTGTTTGCACTATAATTTGTTTATTCTTATTTTATTAAAATGGTTTAATAATAAATAAATTTTATTTGAGTACTTACATTATTTTGTGCTGAATTTTTTGTTAACTGATTGCCTGCTTCAGTTTATTCTAATCACACAGAATACTGAAATAGGCTTTCAGATAGCTATATCAACACATACCAACATGCTACTAAAAATAACCTTACATGTTGCTAAAACTACCCACAACTCTCCATTGGAAATAATTTTAAAGGTTTGTACTTTTGTATTTATTATAATTGCAGTTATTAGATATAAAAAATCGATTTTTCTTTGAAATATTTACACTGAAAACAATGTTTTGAAATGTAAATACTCTACTATGCTGCATGTTTCATACATACAGCAATTAAAATGCAACAAAACAGGCCAAGAAATATCAGGCATACCAACTGTTTTGGAGTCAATATCTGTTAATAAAATTCTTAATTTTTCATTGCCTAATAAATGTTTATCATATTTCATATTTTCGTATTTCTTTATTAAAATTGTTTTGCAGTGGTGAAAATTACAAATTAAAAAACTATATTATATTAGAAATATTATTGACAAAAATTTATTGTTAAGTGATTATCTGCTTCTTGTGGTTAAGATGTACTTCCAAAAAGTAGCTTAATATCAAAGTTGTAAACAATTTGATGCAGATTAATAAAATAATCTTTATAAAGTTGTTTTTGTTTTTATTTTAAAATCCTTACCAAAAGTTTACATAACAAGTTTATGTTTGAAAAAAGAAATTGATGAGTGTATTACCTCAATGCACCAATCTGAATTTAAGATAAGGGCTGTTGTGACAGATAACCATTCTACCAATGTTAATGCATTTTTATAGTTTCATAAAGCATATATTGGTGATGGAAAACTATTAATTTATCATTCAGTTTAAAAAAGGAGTGTATAAAACATACTTATTATTTGATATACTTCGTTATATAAAAAATGTAAGAAAAAACTTATAAAACACACAAAAAAAAAAATTATTCCTTTTCATTTGATTTTTCCAGAGACTACAAGCAACTGTGTCTCTTATGAATGATTTTTTTGAAGAAGGCTTTGCAGTTGTTCTTAGTTCTAATTTACAAAGTAATCTTTTGGAGCTAGGTTTTAGTAAGAATAATTAAAAACATGCATTAGTAAAAAAGTAAGTATAATTAGAAACATGCATTAGTAAAAATATTTTAGCGGATTTTCCCAAAAAATATTTTATCAGAACTTTGATAATCATTAAAAAATATTATGAAAGATTTAGCTTAGTTGTCTACATAATTACTAGTGTCATTAATAGTGTTAAAAATAGCACAGATTTATATACTAAAGCAAGGAATAATGGTAAAAATAACAAAAAGATTTTTATGTTAAATTTATGATTAATAAATGTTACTTTATATAGAGAAGAACCTATATATCCAATTCAACCTGTGTCTAACTTTATTTGTCTTCTGTTTAGTATTTTATGTTATTTCTCTTATTCAAATAATACAAAACTACAAACCTTTGATTTTTTTTTCAATGAAGAGTTTTAGGCAATCTTAGCAACATGTAAGGTTATTTTTAGTAGCATGTTGATATGTGTTGATAAAGCTATCTGAAAGCCTATTAAAAGGTGCTGTTTTGTGCTGGGTTCCATTCTTTATTATCCTTTCTTATGTCAGAAGTTGGGCTCTGGAGAAATTTTGGGGTGTTCAACAGTATCATTAACAAGGGTGAGTCACCTACTATAATTCATGGGTTCTTATTACCTTTATCAAGGATAAGACAGAGCTAATTGCAAAGAACTTTTCCTCTAATTTGACTCATGAAACTAACGACCATACTCTTCTTGCCATTAGAGTTAAACAGATTAACCCATTGTTAGACATCAAAATTACTCCAACTTTTATTGCCAAAGTCATTTCTTAATTAAACTCTTCTCAGACTTGTACTCAACACAACATTCCTGTCATAGCCTTACAAAAGTGTTCTCCAGAAGTCTTTTCAAATCTCTCTAAACTATTTAATAAATGACCTTATAAAAACCACATATACAATCCATTACAAAGTTATGCACCTGCAAGGTTGCTATACTTTATCTTCCTTGCCATTATCTTACTCCTGATTTCATTCTCTCCTTCTAAATATCTCTTATTCATCTCTGTATGGAATACTCTTGTCATATTTGGGTTTTTGCTATTAAGAACATCATTAGAAGAACCCATATTTGGGTTCTTCTAGTTAAGTTTTTTCTCTTTTAGACAAGGTCTAAAAACGCAATAAACATAGTTGGACTTGGTTAACCGTCTTCTTGTCAATATCAAGCAACTTTTCAATTTTTCTGTCAACCGTCTCCTTACTCGATACTTTGTTTTCTAGTAACTCCCAACCTTATATATCATTACTTTATCTACCCTATATCATTACTTTATCTACCCTATATCATTACTATATCTACCCTATATCATTACTTTATCTACTTTTTATCATTACTTTATCTACCTATATTATTACTTTATTACTATTTTAGTTTATCTACAGTTAAAATATGGTTTTGATTTAGTAAACTTCATGATATGAAATATATTTTATGGATTACTGGCAACAGTTTAAGGAAAAAAAATCAATTTGAATCCATTGCCAGAATAATTTCTTTTTAAGTAACATTACTGAGAGAGTTTGTATTATTAAATATTATGTTATTTCTTGTTTGTGTAATAATTTATTTCCTTTGTATATTTGTGTTTTTTTATATTACAGATTTTGACTATTCTTACTCTCTGAGTAATGTTAGCATTAATGTTAACATTTAATGTTGTAATGTAACATTTAATGTTGTAATGTTAACATTTAATGTTGTAATGTAACATTTAATGTTGTAATGTAACATTTAATGTTGTAATGTAACATTTAATGTTGTAATGTAACATTTAATGTTGTAATGTAACATTTAATGTTGTAATGTAACATTTAATGTTGTAATGTAACATTTAATGTTGTAATGTAACATTTAATGTTGAAATTTAGCATTTAATGTTGTAATGTAGCATTTAATGTTGTAACTTACTTTATATTATTAAGTATTTTTAACATTAAACGTAACATTCAATATAACAATAATGTTGTAATATCTCTATGAGAACTTACAAAATCTTGCCAATTTGTAAAATGATTCCAATGTAGTTTTCACTTCATTACTGTACTTACATGTTAAGGTTACTGTGCATAACTATGGTAACTGCCTTAACTTACTTAATATTATTAGGTATTTTTTTGATATCACAACTAATATAGACCCGTATCACTGGTTCTGACAGCTAATAATAATTATAATAAATTAGGAATGTACCTCAGGTGTTAGTAGGTGAAAGTTATTTTGGATGGTGTAAGGTGTTTTCATAAGATAACCTATTTAAAAAAAAAACACTATAATTGATAAAAAAAGTTAAAAAATGCTAACAAAGATTTTATAAAAAAAGTAAATTTATCAAATTCTAAGATCTTATTGAATTAGCACTAATTTTATTAGGTTTTGTAAAATATAAAATAGTATATATAAAATATGAATCATAATAAATTAATTAAAAAAAAATAATAAGATAGCATGAAATTAAAAATGCTAACAAATATTTTATAAAAAAGGTAAATTTATCAAATTCTAAGACCTTATTTAATTAGCACTAATTGTATTAGGTTTTGTAAAATATAAAATAGTACATACAAAATATGAATTATAATGAATTAATTTTAAAAAAATATAAGATAGCATGAAATTATAAATATTAAAAAATTACCTGGTGTATTAGATAAAACTTCTTCAATGAAATTGTCCACGTCATCATTAGTAACACCTAAATGTTTTTCTGGAGTAAAAAAACTGATCAGATTTTTTGCATCAATTTGTTCAGGAAACTCTGGAAAGTTATTTTTAACGAAATTTCTTTTTGCATCAATTTGTTCAGGAGTAAACTCTGGAAAGTTATTTTTAACGAAATTTCTTTTGTAAGTGTTCTGCTCAAAGTATGAGAAATTTTCACCTTCATCAAATTTTAATGAATTTGAAAGCTCTTCTATAGACTTCATAAATGTTTTATTTAAGCTCTTTTGATTTTCTTTATCCTGTAGCAACCTTTGAGATGTACTTACGGTAGAAGAAGGTGACCTTTGAGGAACATTAGACTTTTCTAAATTGCAAAATGGTGTAAGTAAACTATAGTCATCTGAAGGTATCTTTGATAATTGAATATTTGAAGTTTCAAATGGTGAATACGAAGTTTGAAAGTCGTGAATTGGACTTAATGCAAAAAAGCTTGAGCAATCGTTGTTATCAGTATTTTCATTCAGAGAGTTTGCAGTATCAAGCAAAGATAAATTCGATAAGCCTATACAAGTCAAGCCTATATATATATATATATACTTATATTGATAAGTCTTCATACAAAAATCGTTTTTAATTAAAACTTATATAACTCTAATAACTTTAAAAAATAAAACTCACACATGATGGCAAAAAAACAAAACTCACACATGATGGCAAAAACCAAAACTCACACATGATGGCAAAAAAACAAAACTCACACATGATGGCAAAAAAACAAAACTCACACATGATGACAAAAAAACAAAACTCCCACATGATGACAAAAAAACAAAACTCCCACATGATGGCAAAAAAACAAAACTCACACATGATGGCAAAAAAACAAAACTCACACATGATGACAAAAAAACAAAACTCACACATGATGGCATTAACATTATTAATAAAACTATACCAATAAAATTACTTTGCCTGCATTTTGGGCCTGGAGTACGAATACATTTTTCATTGTTAATAAAAGGATTTTTTGCTAAAGTAAAATACAAAAAAAAAATATATGTATATTATAAATAGAAAAAGTCAAAATATATTAGGAATGTTTAAGGTTTAAGTAAAAAATTCTTAAATAGACATGCAGGCTAAAAAAATATGTTTAACCTATATTAAAAAACACCTGATTGGTTTATTATGGATTTTAGAATTACTACTTACAATAATTTTTTAACACGCATAAAAAGTTCACGAAAAGTTTACCTAAATTTCAATCATTTTTAACAAATAAAAAGATGAAAAAAAAACTCACAAAATGCTTCAAAAGGATTATAAAGTCCATGTATACTACTTTCTATTTCCTAAAATAAAGTAAAAACAATTTAAAAAATCAAGTATTTAAATAAAACAAAACACAAAAAAAAGACATTAAAGCAGAAAAAAAATCAAATAAAAATTTTTGTATGAGTTAGTATTATATGGTATGAAAATTATTTTTATTCAAATCTCTTGTTTACATACTTTTTTTTTTTTTTTAAATTATCTTCGCTTCCAACAAGGTTGCAAGCAATCACTTATTAGTGTTGGAAGTTACTGGAAGAGAAAATATGAAGATTGTAGAGCAAGATAACGATTGACAGACGACTTAAAATATTGCAAATTATATGAATCAGGAAAGCAAGATGAAGGAAGCGAATTCCAAAGAACTGATGTTCGAGGAAAAAAACTAGACGAACAAGAGTTTTTGGAGCACTTAGGAACAGTAACAGAAAGAGGATGAGACTTAATTGAATGACGAGTAACACGAGAATGAATTTTAGTAGATGGCACAAGAGACGCTAGCTCTTTAGAGCAGTGCCCATTATAGTATTTGTAGAAAAGAGAAAGAGAAGCAACATTACGACGATGTGACAGAGGTTGAAGGTTGGCTGCAAGAGCAGGTCCAACTATGTTTTCAATGCGTTTTTGCACCTTGTCTAAAAGAGAAAGGGCACCATTAGAAGATCCGCCCCAGATATGGCAACAGTATTCCATACAAGGCCGGATTTGAGATTTATAGAGATAGAGAAAAGAATCCAGAGTAAGAAAGTGACGAGCTCTATAAAGAGAAGCAATTTTAGCAGATGCTAATTTTGCAACCGATTTGATATAAGGTTTCCAAGAAAGATCAGAAGTAAGAGTTAATCCTAGAAGATGAAGGGTAGGAGACTCATCGAGTACATTACCATTCATAAATATAGGAAGGTCTAAATCCTTTTCGAGCTCAGATGCCCCCTGCAAGCAATCAGAGGGAGTTGGCTTCTTATCGTGACAAGAATAAATGGTAGTATCATCAGCGAACAATGCCACCTTAGATGTGAGAATATCTGGAAGATCGTTAATGTAAATTAAAAAGAGTATAGGGCCAAGGATTGAACCTTGGGGAACCCCTGAGGTTACAGAATAAGAAGAAGAGTGCTGTCCATCAAGGACAACTTTTATACTACGATTGGAAAGAAAGGAATTAATAATCTTAAAGATGTTTCCAGATACACCATAAGAAGAAAGCTTATGGAGGAGACCAGCATGCCAAACTTTATCAAACGCTTTAGAAATGTCAAGAGCAATGGCCTTAACCTCTCCACCTTTATCTAATGGGCGATAAAACCTATCGGTTATTACTGATAGCAAATCAGCCGTAGAACGAGAAGATCGAAATCCATACTGATGATCAGAAAGTAGGTTATGAGATTCGAGATAAGAGATTAAGTGTTTGTTAATTAAAGATTCAAAAACCTTGCTTATGATAGGAAGAAGACTAATGGGACGGTAGTTAGATGAGTCAGATCGCTCTCCAGAATTTTTAAAAATAGGGATAACAGATGCTGCTTTCCAGCAGGCTGGAAAACAAGACTCTGATAAGCACTTGTCTTATCAGACTTGCCCTTATTATTAATACTATTAAAAATTCTCCAGAAGTCACAAGAGCCTAATTTTTGTGATGAAATACAAGATTTCATGATCTGAAAATAGCGGGTTTTGGCGTTAGACAAAACCTTTTTACAATGGTTCCTAGCAGTAATAAAGAGACGTCTGTTTTCTGGAGAATTGTTTTGCTGATAGATATGGAAGTAATGGTTTCGATTGGCAATTGCAGCAGCACAATGTGAGGAAAACCATGGAGAAGAGTGAGGCTTGACCTGGAATCGTCGAGAGGGAATAAAGGATTCCATGCCAGCCTGAATCCACGAAGTTATAATAGAAACTCATTTGTCAACAGGGAGACAAAAGATTTCTACCCAGGGGCCATCACGAAGAAAGTCACGAAAAGAGTCCCAGTCAGCTTTAAGGTATAGAACAAAGAGAAAGGTGATAGAGTGAAGTGGTGCTAAACGAAAGCACATAAAAGAGTAGTCTGTGGGTTCAAACCTAGTTTCCCCACAAATGGGTGAATTCTTACGAATGTAAATGCCCAGGCCAAGCATGTGACTATTAGAGTCTTTACGAATTAAAGGAAGATAACCATCAACACTAAGATCACAAGATGAGACAGCCGAACTCAAATTAGTCTCACAAAGAGCAAGCAGGTTTGGTGAACTTTGCAAGAGATAAGACTCAACAGAAGAAAAGTTACTTCAAAGACCACGAATATTGGTGAATGATAGGTTTAGCGAACTTGGTGATGACTGTGGTTTTTTGTGTTTTATAGTTTTTGTTGCTTTATTCATTTTTAAATTTGTTAAAGAACTTGATTCGAAACATAGATAGTACTCAGTACACTGTTCTATAGCTCAAGCAATTGCCTCATTTCCACTAATAAACCCTAAGCCGTAACAAAGGGCTCCAATGTGGCCTTGGCAATGCACACCAAAAGTACAAACAGGGACACCATCCATGCGCAACTTGGCACTGTTAGTACTCTGATATTTTTCAGCTGTTGATGGAATCAGCCTCTCTGAGAGCTACCACAGAGTTTGGGAAACCTGACTACCAGCCGGCCTCAGAACCATAAAACTGAGTTTTAGAGCTGTACCCTCATTTGGAGATAATAGAATGAGTTGCCTAGTCATAAAAACAGAGACACAAGCAAAACCCATGAATCGAGTCAAGAAGATCCAGCGTTCAACATCCTAAACTGGAAACAATGTATTAAAAATACATCTGCGCCAGCCTAATAGATGACGAAGTGGTGCGAGGCTGGTCAACAGATAGAATCTGTTTACCCCTTAAAGACTTATAGACTTTATTAAGAAACCTCAGATAGAGTGAAGTTAGTCAAATTAACTTACTTGTCAGAGTTATTGAGTATTTTAAATAGATAAGATTTATGGTTAATGCAATTTATATTTGGATAAGTCATATGACCAAGTATATACACGTTATGAGCAGTGGATCATGTCAGAGACATTAGCTATCTTGATTACAGCTAATGATCAGAGAAATTTGTCATTATTTCATCTTGTCTTGAACAGTAAAAAATTGTTAAGTTTTTTGTTAAGTGTTATGCATGCCTTATAAATAAAGGCATTAAAAAATATGACTTATGAGCTGAGTATATTCTTTTAAGAAGTATAAAAACCTTAAAAATCTTATAATAAAAAATGGACCATTTTTGAAAATTTTGAATAAATAACTTGTTACTCTAGCATTAAAAGTCAGAGATCTGAACTGATACTATAAATTATCACATCAATATTAAAGCAGAGATATTTAGATGGAGTTTATTCAGACTAAATCAATAGCTTTATCACAACACTTTAAAATAATTCTGTTACTACGGTAAATAAATCAACAGTATAAAAAGAGGATCAATGTCACAATGATTATTAGAAATTATCCTATAATAAGGTAATATTAAATTTAATGTTGCTTCTCCTTCTGCTACTACTGTTACTCATTCAGGCATCTTTACACAAAACTCATGCAACCAATATTCATGCATCAATTCAACTATGGCCTTATTATGCATCAATTCAACCACAGACCCAGTTTATGGAGAGAAAGGGTTGCAGTACCTTTTGTATAAGAAAATGTGAACGAAAGTGTATGCATACACATTCATTCATATTTGCATACACATTCATTCCTATTTTACAATTTTATATAGGTTAGATAACTTATGTAAACTTCAAATTATGTAATTGTTGATATATGTTAAAACATATATCAAGTTTTACTTTTACTTTAAAATTAGATTGCGGTTGAATGCATTTTCTTGCATTTTCTTAATTTTGATTTACAGGTTTTATTTTAATTTTTTTGTTCTGTTTTATAAAGTATTTTGTTTATTAAATAGTTTTAAAACATTCTTCGAACAATACACCTTAACTTGCAGCGTTCTGATGTAAATGGCATGGTTCAAATCCTAGCTCTTCCACGCTGTTATTTTTTTAACTTTTTCAATTTTAAAATACAAAATAAAATCTTTTTAAAGTTCTATAGATATTTTAACTTTTACAAAGTTTTACTATTATTTAAAAATTGCACTTGGGAAAATCTCTTTAAATTTGATTCATAACAAAAATAAGACAATATTGTTGACAATATTGTTGTTTTATAAAAGTAATCCTTTTTGTTTATTAAATAGTGTTAAAATTTGGCAGATTAGTGTGCCTTAGAGGCTGAAGTGGTTAGCTTGCTCTGCCTTTCCCAAGTACAATGCAATTGTTTAAATCCTGTTGCTTGCAATTAATTTTTTTTTTTTAATTTTTTCTAATTTTCTAAAATACAAAACAAAATGCTTTTAAAGTTCTACTGATGATATATATAAAACATTTATAAAAATATTTTATACTAAAAATATATATTAATATTTTATAACAAACAAAAGAGAGTTTTTAAGAAAGCTAAAAAATTACAATAAACAACAAAAATTATATATATTATTTAAAATAAGCGCTTCAACATTTTTTTATTTATAACTTAAAAATTTAGGCAATAACTTTCCTACTGCTTACTAAAAAAATAAGGAATAAAAGAAATGGTCAGTGTAGAATGTTTAACGGGTCTGGACAGCAAGTACTTATATTATACTGGGTAATTAGACAATATTGAAAATCATGATGAGTAAACAACATATAAATCCATAATGTAAAAGATTATTAAAAACTTTAGTTGATTATGAATTAGTTGGAGATACATATCAATAGTTAAAAGAGTGAGAGCAAAAACCATTGTGCTGAAATGAAAAAGACTTATGGAGATTTTTTTTTTTATTTGCATTCACTCCCAACAAGGCTGCAAGCAACCACTATTAAGTTGGGAGTTACTAAGAAAAAAAAAGAACAGAGTTATAGAGCAAAGAAACGGTTGACAGAAGACTTGAAAAGTTGAAGGTTGTATGAGTCAAGAAAACATGAAGATGGGAGAGAGTTCCAAAGGA